CTCTCTCTCTCTCTCTCTTTCTCTTCTCTCGTCTGCTAATTTCTCTTCTCTCTTAAGGCGGGGACGGTGGCCACGAGCGATCACAAAAACGCGACAATCTCGCACGAAATGAGGTTCGATCGTCAAAAACTGGGGAAAAATTGCGATTTTGAGTTGCCCCGCGCAACCCTTATGCAAGAAATGAGGTTCGATCGTCAAACGCTGTGGAAAGGTTGCGATTTTGACGGGCCTGCTGCGACCCTTATGCGCGAAATGAAGTTCGATCGTCAAAAACTGGAGTGTAAAAGCGTTTGTGTTACATCTTCACATCTTACATCTTTTCCATCTTTTCTTGCCGTCCCTGACTCTCTTCCTACTACCCTTTCTCCTTCATACGGCCGCACTCTTTCAATTTTTATCTTCTTGCTGTCGTTCTGTATCGGTACACATGTTTCAATGCCTCTCTTCAGCTTTCATCTTAAGATCGCTATATCCCGCTATCATTGTCTTTTCTTCTACTTACACCACATACTTCTTACATACTTATTACATTGTGTTTTTATTTACACCTGAGTAACTTGCTCCTCTACGCTCTCGGGCTATCCGTTGTCTAGTTTTCAACTACCATTCACCAGTTTGCTCATCTAGTTTTAATGTTAAAGGCTCCAAGTTTTTGCTGGTGACAGCCTCCAACGATCCGTTCAATTCAACCAGGAACCAATCTTCATCTCCCATCAATATTGGTTGTGAGTTAAAACCATTTCTGGTGGTTCACACCCTTGTGTGTGAAAGACACAGTATGCCAACGTCTGTCGATTTAAATTTAGCAACCCATGTTTCATTGGTGAAAACTCTATCTATTCTTGCTCTATGCCTATTTTTGTGGGTCAAATCGCCTTGCAGGCCGAACAAATTCCAGCCCGGTGGCTTTTGGCTGTCTCATGCAAGTTAGCAAAAGAACATGATCATAAGAGCCAATTCCAAGGATTGGTAAAGGATTGGGAATGCTTGCTCCTAAATCTTTGGCTCTCCTTCGACCACTTCATCACCAATCCAGACACAAGAAAAACATGTTTCCCAACAAACCACAATCTTTCCATGATCCAAGAACTGCAAGAAACTCTGGTAACGCTATGCTTCAACCATGCGCGCTGTGCCTCAACCACGCGCTTGTCGACTCGGTGGGCAGGCCGTGGAAACTGCCAACTAACGGAGCGAACCGCAAGTGAGGTTTTGAATGCACGAACATTGGGGTTCCAAACAACTCATATGTGGATTTCAACGTCACAAACTACACATTTTAACCAAGACGATAGGGGAGTTTTGCGCCCCAATAACAGGATTGGTCACCTCTCCATCATGGTATATTTCTAGTGTCACCGTATCTGCTCGTGATATCGGAAAAAAAAACAAAATTAGTTTACTCAAAAAAGTCGTGGGGTTTCACCCCCCAAGAATGCTGTTCCACCCAAGATCTTCGAATCCTGATCCCAATTTATTCTGCATGAAAAAACTGAATCGGACGGTCATTCAACTGAGTGACATAGGCTTCGCAGTTTGTAAGTTGATGGGTTACCTGTTGGGGACGGCCTCCAAATGCAACTATCACCCCAGCCCTTGAAGAAATTAGCACTGATGGATCCCCAGCGATTCACGACCTGAAATTCGCCATTCCATTTGTTTATGGCCCCAAAACAGCACGTTTCTTGGGGCCAGTCGACATGTTGTCGGTTCATGACAATTATTGTGGTTTCATTCCGTTATATTTGCTTATCCACATTACCTGCAACAGTTCCAAGCAAATTGGGGCTCAGGCTAGAGCACTCTGGTACCGACCTTTGCAGGGGTGAAGGTGTGGATTTGATGTCTTGGTTCAACCTCAACAATCGAGCATTAGGATGCAATGCTTTACCTCGATGCATGCCGTGCCGAACCCGAAAAAACTTGGAGCAAAGCAGGAACCGTGAGCGGGATCTGCAGCGCGACCCCTTGCGTGGCTGTGCCCACAGGGGCCACCACAAAGGCGGTCAAAAGCGCCTGCAAAAAACAGGCTGGGAGGCATGCTGTGATATGCCCTCAAGTGGAAGTGGGTTGTGGTCCCAAATGACGATTCCCCCAAAGGTGCCTCAGAAGAGCGTTTGCGAGAATTCAGCATTCCCGAACCTAGTTAAAAGAATTGAGCAGTGGTTAATCATGATCAAATTGTTGTGCATTCTGCTGGCTTGCCGCTGAAAGGCGTGCTGTTGCTTGCTTTAAGGGTGTGGCAGTGGGTCAGGGGAACGTTGCTGTTTCACCTTCCCAAGGGTATCAGCCTTCTTGTTGAGTCATCGGCATTTTCCCCCAAACAGTGTGTCCACACTGAAGGGTTCTTACGGTAAGTGTAAAGGCCGGTGCTTGATCAGGGTGCTCCAGCTGGTCTGCGGCATTTAACTTGTAAATTCTAGCATAAAGTGGCTCTTGTGAAATGCCCAAATGCATTTCGGCTACGCAGGCTCGCACACAGTGTGGTCCCGGTGTGGTCCCCGGTCTTGGTCTGTGGCATTTTACCTGTAAATCCTCGCACAAAATGGCCCTTGTGGAATTTTCAAGTGCATTTCGACTGCGCAGGCTCCCACAAAGTGTGGGTCCCGGTCTTGGGATCGGTCCTCCTCCTCAACATCACCATCCTCAACCTCATCATCTTCCTCCTCGTCCTCGTCCTCAACATCATCATTCTCAACATCACCATCTTCCATCCTCAACATCATCAACCCCCACCTCATCTTCCGCAACATCAAAATCATCATCCTTTTCATCACCCTCCTCCATCCTCCTGCACCTCATCATCCTCAACGATGATCCGCAGCATTAATCTCCTCCTCATCATCATCATCATCATACATTATCCTCCCACTCCGCCACGCTGTTTGGGGTCTCTTGCCGGGATAATGACTTCGAAATGTGCTTCGCGCCACAACGGCGTGCAATCTCTCATCTGGCCAGCTGGCTCCGCACCCGCCGCTTTAGCGAGCCTACTTTTCAACCCTCCGGAGCCCCAAATCATTGGAAAAACACAGTGTTTCGCGACTTTCCTACCTTTTCGCGCATCTGCATTTTCTTTCTTCTTACTCTTTCTCTTCTACTCTTCTTTCTTCTAATCTTTCTCTTCTCTCTGCCTCTTCCCTGCTCTGCTTTTCATCTGTCCATATTGTCGGAAGTTTGACTTCTAAACTTCCTTCGGTTATCGTTATTATCATCATTACTATTCTATATATATATATATATATATAAATTATGTATATATATATATGTTTATATCATTATTACTAATCCCCTGTGTCATTTTTTGGAAAAAACACTGGTTATGGTCAACACATGGTTATACTTTAAATCCCACTTATAATCATAACAGCCACTATTTAAATAATTATATATATATATATTCCATAAGCTCGTTGTTTTGTCCTCAACTCCAAAAAATTGATATTCCGCGGATCATGGACATTTTTAGTCCAAGGTTTCCCAATGTGATAAACATCATAAGACATATATAATATTCTAGTTTATAAATGCCAACTACTCATAAATCACGATTTATGATGTGGGATATATATATATATGTCTTTAACCATTATCATTATTATTGTTAAAGTACTATCATTAATTATGATTAACCATTTTAAACCCATTATATATAATGGTATATATACACATCTATAACCATTATTATTATTAACCATTTAAACCCATCGTTAAACATATGTATATATACACATTATTTATTTATTTATTTAATTAATCTATTTATATATATATGATTATATATGATATAATATATACATCTCAAAGTGTCATATGAAACAGATACTGTCTCGCGCTCCCGCAGCTTTCTTTTTCCACAGCTATGCCTATGCTCAGTCAATTTCACCTGCAATCCTCAGGTTTGCTTTGGGTTGTCACGATGTGACACGTACATAGCCCCAGACCAGTTTCGCCACTGGTCAGCTGCCTGGCAACCCAGGCTGGAACCTGCTCTGCAGGAATCACCCATCCCTTAACCTAAGGGAGGGAAGTCTCTCTTGGTCGCCCCAAGAGAGGATCCCCGATAGAGGCTATGTACTCGCCTGCCGTGCAGGCTCCCCTAACCTAGGCGGACATCTCCACGGGAGGTCGGCTCTTAGGGTTGGGAGGGTGGGGAAAGAAAACAGCAATGAATGCTATTTTGGTTCAAGTTTACTTGAGCCAAAATGATAGCATTCATTGAAACACTTAAAGATGATACATGCACACCCAAGCCTGCCAAACTCAATGCATGGGTATATACATATGTTTCTTCCGCGCGTCCTTGCCATGGGCTTCTCCAAGTAGCAGGGCTTTCCATGTTTCGCCACCTCCAAAGCCACCTCCAGATGAGACCCTGGCGGAGTTGCCACGTAGATGGCGTCCACCTCGAAGGATGAACAGCTGGAATTTTGGCCATGGATAAAAACTATGATTATGGGTCAAATATGGGGAAAAACAAGGGGGAAAAACATGGAAAAACAGCCATGGCTATGGGTCAAAAATGAAACAGATAAATTGTTTTTGTCTATTTTGTGTGTTGACCGTGCATATACTTTGAGGTGCGGAATATACTTTGACCCGTCATACCCAGATGGAAAAACTAAGCCATAGATATCAACAGAACAACTAGAACAATCAACATGACTCCGTCATCCATCGAATTCAGGTTTGGTTTTCAATGTTTCTTTCGACATGCCCCCAACTTTGGACAGGCCAAGCAAACCTCACATTGACCCCACCTCAGGATCGGTCAGGATGCCCTCCAGGGTGTTGTACCATTTGGGCACCTGATGTCTCTCTGCATAGTCTTTGGCCTTCTGTGCATCCCGGCGCATCACTGCCACCAGCTTCGAGTTCTCCGCGCTTTGGAAGGCCGGTCCACTCTTCACTTCCGTGACATCACCGCATCCAATGATGCCCCAGCGAAGCACCATGGCCGCAGCCGCTTTTTGCATTAAGATTCACACCGAAAAGGCCATGTGTTTGGAGAGTTTCAAGATGTTTGGGGCTGAACGATGCAGGTCCCTTGGAAAGGTCTGGAAAATGGATGTACCATTTTATTATGGTTTTTCCTGAGCACTTAGGATTCATACGCTGTCAAACGGAACAAAGGCTTTATGGAGAAAATGGCAGCACCAATGCTCCGGCAACCATGGTCAGCTCGGATTATATAGCTGCGGGGGGGGAAAACATTTTCCGATGCTGCACGACCGTCGGAAGTACATTCTGTATGTTTGTTGTGTGTATCGATCATCACATTGTCTATATTATCTGTAATTCATTGGTATATACAAATATATACCGTAAGTCAATGTAAATGATATTTTTCTGAAGTAAATAACTTGCCTCTAGACTCCCTGATCTCACAGTTACAGTTCATCCCTGGCGCCTTCTCCTCCACAACCTGAGTTCGACGAGTTTGCGGGAGGTTTCCTAAGTCATAGGGGGTACCCCAAATCATCCAAGTCATGGATGACCATTCGAGTATTGAGATAACCATGGTGACTTGAGGATCCCCATGGCCCCATGACAGAGGACAATCAAATCATCCAAGGTTTGTGAGACTTCGGGACTGGTTGGGACATAGATACCATAGGAGTTTGTCTAACAATGGGATACACATGGGATACACCCCACTGCTCCACTGCTGAATCATCATCCCAGGGGGCACGATGGCCATTTGAAGGGTACCATGGGCCACATTCCTGGCGCTAAAAAAACCGGCCTCTGGTAGGGACGCTTCTGTGGGTGTCGATTCTTCGAGATCTGACCAAAAACCAGGCACGGGGCACGGTGGCCGACCGGCTGTGGAAAAGCTATGAAAAGCTGCCGAGGGGTCATACGGCCTAAAAAAGGAATTGGTTCTTCGGATTCATGACACTGTTCCTTGTGGTCATTGTGGATCTTAGATGAAATAAACGTTTGCATAGGTTGTTGCAGTGCGTGGGGAGAATGTTCAGACGTAGTTTCAGCGCGCGCTACCTTGCCACAAGCAGCAGGATTAACTCATAGCATCTCGTCTTAAGTCACTGCCGGGGCCCTGTTTCCGCATGGAAACGCTGCGAATTGTCTAAGTCACGGCCGCTAGTTTCAAGTCATAGCCGAGCGATGCCTTCCCCCATGTATTTGACCCAAGTTCATATTACACTATTTTTGATCAGTTCAGCATGGAATTCCGATTCATTGTATATTGTATGTGTTTCGTATCACCGTGTAACCGCTTTATAAGTAGGAGTATGGTGGTATTGTGGGGAGTCTACGAACACTATCAAAATCCAATCATTTTTGTAGGGTTGGAAGTGCTCGGGACACTCTAAAACATATATATTAAAGAATATTAAAAACGCTTTCCTCAGGATGCTTCAGCCCCCAGCGTTCACCAAAGACTCTTGTTCTCCACTTACTTCTACTGCGACATGTTTTTTTGAACTTGTTTTCGTTCACCCGATGCCTGTGCCCGGCATGTGAACACATGATTCATGCATCCTTTGGCAACACCACCCAACGAATCCATTACTGTAAAATCTGTAGAAATAAAGTAGAACTGAGCCCCAAAGTAGGTTTTTAAACAAGGTCAGAAACTAGTTTTGGAAACCCCAGGTCCCAAAAGCAGTGCAAAATACAAGGCTAGAATCTAGAGGATGCGGCTTTTATCGGCCTCTAGTGTCGGAAAGTTGAGCCACATCAGAATCAATAAACCTTTCAATTTGTGAATCACATAATTCCCCACGAGCAGCCTGCTAGCAGCAATTTACCAGCAGCCTGGCAGCATTCTAATAGCAATCTGTAGCAGCAGTCTCGGAGCAGTCTGGCAGCAGCCAAGCAGCAGTTTGCAGGCTGCCCATTGCGACACCCAGCAAACATTTAGCAGCAGTTCAGCGGCAGCTTAGCACCAGCCCAGCAACAATCTAGCAGCAGGCCAGCAGCAATTTTGCAGAAGCGTAACAGCAATCATGCAGCAGTTTGGAGCAGTCCAGCCTGCAGCAATCTATATAGTAACAAGCGGTTTCTGAGAACAGCTTATTAGCATTCGCTCAGCAGCACCCCAGCAGCCCAGCAGCAGTCTAGCAGCAATCTAGCACCAATTCCAACTTTTTACATATAACATCATATAACATGCATTGCCAAACAATACGGAGGAAAGCACCGCAAGGCACACACGCTGATCCAAGAACAAAGCATCAGAATCTGTTCGACATACAACGATAAAATAAAGTTGTAGAAAGTGCAGTTCTGGAATCATTGATGGAAGGCAGACGTTGATCCGCTACAAAAAAAAACAGCAATGCAACGACTTGACCCCGGGACCCAATATGTGCTTGAAGACGACAGCAAAGGAAGCCCCTGAAATGGAGTTCTTCAAGAATCCCGCGTCGGCAACCCCATTCTGAACACAGAATTTTCATCAGTGCTAGCAACCTTTTTCACAAAGTATTTTTTAAGATGTGTTAAAAAGGTTGACTGGTAAATACTGATATTTTAAAAAAAACAAATAGTGATATACTATTTAAAAAGGTTCACTGGAACTATGTTTTGGATAAAAATAGTGATATGGGGATGGGTCAAAACCCTGGTACCTAGTGAACCCCAAAATAGCTGGTAAATGGATGTTCATCCCACTAAAAATGTATCTATAGGTATTGACCCATACCCATATGCCAAAGTATACCCAGAGTGTATTGGCTGGCCAGATCCCTCGATCCCTGCAACGTGGCCCGGCCGAGTGTCCAGCCATGCCGACGCGCCTGGAGTTGTCGAGAACTCACGTAGAACACGGCTTCTGAACCTGCTTGAATTCAAAATGGAGGGGGAAAGTACTCAAAAAAAACTGCCAAATGGCTACCAAAGAAAAGTGATAAAGGGTGTCTAGTATGGTATCACTCCCCAATTGAACAGAACAGCCGTGTTGTATATATGAGTTCCCGTCAAAATCCTTTACATCTGAGTAGTTGCTATTGTTATGGGTATCGCTTTGGGGGGCCCTATCGCTTTCCAGGGTTTTGTGGAAATCAGCATATTCGAGATCCAACATGAAGCCAAAATCCATTCGTAAAGAGGCTCGGAAATGGATCGAGGAGTTGTTTTGTTTGTTTCAGGCGCTTCGGCAACACTTCATGTTCCTTTCATTTTGATTCCAATGTGCATTCATGTCCTTTCATTTCTTTCTAAAGTTGTGGACATGGCGCTATGGCTTGGCCAGGGAACCGAGTGCAACAAATGGTTATCGCTAAGTTATCGCTAATTAAGGTTATCGCTAAATAACCCGTCCAACATATGACATTGTTCGAAGGAAATTCGCCACAAAAACGACAGAGAGAAAGAAAAAGACAGCGAGAGGGAAAGAGAGAGAGGAAGAAAGAAAGAAAGAAAGAAAGAAAGAAAGCAAACCCAGATTATGTACACACTCGTCACTGCTAGTTCACATTGCATCCCAATCTCATGATGTGTATGTCTTAGCTACTGCTGTGTTTGTTTGCGTCGGAATTGCGGGTTGCTGGGACAATCGGAAAATGCATTTCTTAAGAATTTTGAAAAGAGATCTTGTCTGTGCATCCTTTCAAAACATGAAGATTGTGCAGGGTGTTGACTTGTTTGCGGTGTTTCTATTCCCTTCTGGTTTTCCCATTGTTTCTTCCTCTTTCAAGTCTTAATGTCAATTCAACACCAATTGGGATCCACCATTCTAATCCATGTTTGGTGATAACACCAAGATTCCATGATTGTTAGCTGCACGGGTTTGTCCGCACCCACGTATCATGTTGGTTTGTTGTATCCCATGGTATGTCACTGTTACACATTATCATACTGGACAAATTGAAATGATTCACCAAGTTAAATATAGTAAGACTTTTTGGGTTCTTTGTCCTTGTTAACGATCATTCCAATAGTGAGGTCGTTATAATGTATATATCTAGATTATAGATTCACTGTATCTTTCCGGTATAATTATGTCAATCCATTGTGTATCCATTGTACATCCGTTATGTATCCAGTAAATAAGTATATCTATCTGTCTGTCTGTCTGTCTATCTACCTATCTACCTATCTACCTACCTAACTACCTAGCTAGCTAGCTATCTATGTATCTATCTATCTATCTATCTATCTGTCTATCTATCTATCTGTCTATCTATCTATCTATCTTTCTATCTTTCTATCTATCTATCTATCTATCTTGTCTTGTCTTATCTTATCTTATCTTATCTTGTCTATCTATCTATCTAATCTATCAAATCTATCTAATCCATCTAATCCATCCAATCTATCTAAACTATCTAATCTATCTAATCTATCTAATCTATCTAATCTATCTAATCTATCTAATCTATCTATCTAACTAATCTATCTAATCTATCTAATCTATCTATCTAATCTCTCTATCTAATCTATCTAATCGCTCTATCTAATCTATGTAATCTATCTATCTATCTATCTATCTATCGATCTATCGATCTATCGATCTATCGATCTATCGATCTATCGATCTATCTAATCTATCTAATCTACCTAATCTATCTATCTAACTAATCTATCTATCTAATCTATCTATCTCATCTCTCTATCTAATCTATCTAATCGTTCTATCTAATCTATCAAATCTATCTGTCTATCTATCTATCTATCTATCTATCGATCTATCGATCTATCGATCTATCGATCTATCGATCTATCGATCTATCTAATCTATCTAATCTACCTAATCTATCTATCTAACTAATCTATCTATCTAATCTATCTATCTATCTATCTATCTATCTAATCTATCTATCTATCAAATCTATCTGTCTATCTATCTATCTATCTATCGATCGATCTATCTATCTATCTATCGATCTATCGATCGATCGATCGATCTATCTATCTATCTATCTATCATTATCTATCTATCATTGTCTATCTATCATTATCTATCTATCATTATCTATCTATCATTATCTATCTATCATTATCTATCTATCATTATCTATCTATCATTATCTATCTATCATTATCTATCTATCATTATCTATCTATCATTATCTATCTATCATTATCTATCTACCATTATCTATCTATCATTATCTATCTATCATTATCTATCTATCATTATCTATCTATCATTATCTATCTATCATTATCTATCTATCATTATCTATCTATCATTATCTATCTATCATTATCTATCTATCATTATCTATCTATCATTGTCTATCTATCATTGTCTATCTATCATTGTCTATCTATCATTATCTATCTATCATTATCTATCTATCATTATCTATCTATCATTATCTATCTATCATTATCTATCTATCATTATCTATCTATTATTATCTATCTATCATTATCTATCTATCATTATCTATCTATCATGATCTATCTATCATTATCTATCTGTCATTATCTATCTATCATTATCTATCTATCATTATCTATCTATCATTATCTATCTATCATTATCTATCTATCATTATCTATCTATCATTATCTATCTACCATTGTCTATCTATCATTATCTATCTATCATTATCTATCTATCATTATCTATCTATCATTATCTATCTATCATTATCTATCTATCATTATCTATCTATCATTATCTATCTATCATTATCTATCTATCATTATCTATCTATCATTATCTATCTATCATTATCTACCTATCATTATCTATCTATCATTATCTATCTATCATTATCTATCTATCATTATCTTTCTATCATTATCTATCTATCATTATCTACCCATCATTATCTATCTATCATTATCTATCTATCATTATCTATCTATCATTATCTATCTATCATTATCTATCTACCATTATCTATCTATCTATCTTTATCTATCTATCATTATCTTTCTATCATTGTCTATCTATCATTATCTATCTATCATTATCTATCTATCATTATCTATCTATCATTATCTATCTATCATTATCTATCTATCATTATCTATCTATCATTATCTATCTATCATTATCTATCTATCTATCTATTTATCTATCTGTCTGTCTATCTATCTATCATTATCTATCTATCATTATCTATCTATCATTATCTATCTATCATTATCTATCTATCATTATCTATCTATCATTATCTATCTATCATTATCTATCTATCATTATCGATCTATCATTATCGATCTATCATTATCGATCTATCATTATCGATCTATCATTATCGATCTATCATTATCGATCTATCATTATCTATCTATCATTATCTATCTATCATTATCTATCTATCATTATCTATCTATCATTATCTATCTATCATTATCTATCTATCATTATCTATCTATCATTATCGATCTATCATTATCTATCTATCATTATCTATCTATCATTATCTATCTATCATTATCTATCTATCATTATCTATCTATCATTATCTATCTATCATTATCTATCTATCATTATCTATCTATCTATCTATCTATCTATCATATGCGTTTGTATTTCCACTGTGTATATATATATACGTATATATTGTATAATTGTCCCGTTATATTATTCTCCTATTATTCTCCCATTATCCCCCATTATTATGATATCCCGTTATCATCCAATTATGTTCCCATTGTCCTCCGGCTATTCTCCCAATATCCCATGTCCCATTATTCTCCCACTACTATCCAATTATCTACTATCAATTTGTTCTCCCATTTTTATGCCACTATTCTCCTATTATTATCCAATTATTCTCACATTATTATCCCATTATGTTAGATAATCCCTTTCAACAAAAGGTAAAGGCTGACCTTCTCTTGGTCTCAACGCGATCCGCAAGCTCCACCAAATGCTCCAAGCGAGCAACCATCTGCCAGCTGTTTAACCAAAGCGACAAAAATATGGGCATATCATGGGATGTACTTGGGCGTAAACAAGATCATTAGATTGGTTTGTTGGGGAAATCTTAACGGGAAACCATGGTTTTTACCAGCTTTCCTGCAGATTTCCCCGTCAAGTCTCGGAAACAAAGAACAAAATCGAAAAGTTGATTTTGAATGATTTTGATATGAACTATTTGGAAAAGTGTGACTTTTTTCATCCACTGTTTCGGTTGTGACAAGGTACTACGTACTCTAGCAAAACGCAATGGAGTTGTTTAATGCTAACGCGGGGAACAATGAAAAACTACCAGGTTGTGATTGAAAAACCTATGATCGAAACTAAACCACCCCAAAAATCATATAGGATTCTTCAATTTGTCAACCCCGCAAAAACATGCAAAAACATCGCCTTTTCCAAGAAAATGCAAAACATGCAATTTTTGCCGACCTAAATCAGGGTATGCCACTGGGTTCTCAACCAAACATCTAAGAATCTAATGCCGCTTGAACGCAAATCGATGCATCCAAATGAATCAAGGCGACTTCCCGCGTGAAATGTGGTATGAAGATGTATGAAGTACTGTGCTAAATCCAATAAACCTCCAAGTTTGGAGGGGTTGTACCACCCATGTCTGGTGAGAATGGACATGGACTACTATTGGGTTTACCATACTATAGCAAACCCGAAGTAGATAGAAAAGCGGGAAACCTGGAAATATGTGTTAAATATCATTTGTATATAACGTCCTGGAAACACTTTTGTATCGTTTTGGGGATGACCATAAATGAAAACCAACTACAACAACATTCACTTGTCACAACGACAAACCAACATCAATTCTTCCCAACGCCACCTCCAAAGGAATGTCCAAGCGACCCTTTGCAGGCCTCGGCAAGGATTGCAGTTGTTGACGTGTAAACGGGCAATATTGGACCCACAAATTTGTACACCCTGACAACCAGAGATTTGTGTGTTTTTTTTTAATATTAACATGAATGAATCATCCCATTTTCTGGGGCACCTAATTTGATCTATTTGTATATGTTTGTTCTTTCACAAATTCGCATGAAACTAGCGGTTTCGGAGACACAAAATGTTGATCCGCAAGCCACGAACACAAACTGGATCAGTTTTCATTTTCCTTGGGGAAAGGAAAAAAATATGAACAAATGGGATCTGTCCTCGCCTTGAGGTTCCCAGGTTCCCATCCATATAAATAAACATTATATATACAATATTATATATATTATACAATATATATTATATATACAATATAATATATTACATTTTATATTATTATTTATTATAAAGTATAAATATTAGATTATTTATTGTATATTAAATAAATCTTTTAAATATTCAATATTAAATATCAAATTATAAACAAAATATTATTAACTAAAAATACATATTAGATATTAAATATGATAGATTATATTACATATATTATATATTTGGAAAATACTTAAATATGTATATATATAATATTATATATATTATTGATATGAATATAATATATTGTATATTATATATTATATATATTATATAAAATATAAAACATATATTTTATATAATATATGTTATATATAATATATGTTATATATAATATATGTTATGTATAATATATAACATATATTTTGATATAATATGTTATATATAATATATGTTATATATAATATATGTTATATATAATATGTTATATATAATATATAACATATATTTTATATAATATATGTTATATATAATATGTTATATATAATATATAATATATATTTTATATAATATATGTTATATATAATTTAAATAATATATACAATATAGTTAATATATAAATAATATCATACATATAATAAATCTAATATATATTGTATATTATAGATACAATATATATTAAATATATCAAATATATTTTAAATATTATTTATATTATATATTATATTCTATTTATTCAATATATTATATTCTATTTATTCAATATATTATATAGTATATATTTTAATCTTTGTTAAAAATATTACATATATTATATTTTATATATTTATATTTTATACACATTGTATATTATCTAATATATTATATATAACATATTGTCACATATGTATATATATATATTATTATTTTATAAAAATTACAATTATTGTACATAGTGTATATTATATAAGTTTTACATATTATATATTTTATATTTGTTATACATTTTATATTTTTAATCGTATTCAATATATTATATTCATTATAAATATTTTAAAAAAATATCTATTTGGGTAAATATTGTCTATATATATATACACAGTAGTTTAAATATATTTATATATACCTGGTGTAGTTTGAATTAAATATGTCACAGGTCCCAAACCCCCCCCCTGGAACAGCCCATGTCGGCCAGGTTCAGCCTAAGCCTTATTAGCCCTTATTAGGCCTTATTTGGCCTTATTTCTTGAAACACCCAATCATTTGGCAATGGCCAAGAGTTACCTTACTTTGACATTATTTTGCCTTATTTTTGGCACTGCCATGCACTGCTCAATGAATGAAACGGTGACCAATTTAATTGCCAACGCTGGCTCTTTTGTGACACAACCGTCGGTTCCTTGATGGGTACAATCAATGTGAGCGAACTGCAATTGTTAATTGCCTGGGAAACCTTCGAAAATGATCACCGGGTATGCAAATGTAAACTGGCCTATTAAGATGTGACTTGTTTAGTTGTAAAGAAATCCATAAGTGGAAATGACCTGTCAACAATGACCCCGGTATGAAAATGTAAATTGGCCTAAGATGTGACTTGTTTAGTTGAAAGAAATCCACAAGTGGAAATGACCTGTCAGATACTTAAAATTAACCCTTATTTTGGCCGCATGTTTGGGGGCATCCAACAATATAATTTGGAAGAAATGGAGATGACAAGTCCAATGGATGATGGATGCAAAGGGGACCACACTTTTGGCTAATGATGGAAAAACCGATGTTGAGGATAATCATGGTGATGATGGTTGATGATGCAACCCTGTTGGCCCACAACCGCTGTTTTGTTCTGCTTGTGGCGGGCTTGAATTCACTTTGGCTTCGACAACTTCGCTGTGAAGTCCTTGAGCGTGGCCGGTGCCGGCCTAAGTCAAGACGGGAGAGTCAGTTGAACCTTTGGTGACGGTTTCTGAAACTATTCAGTTTTGATTACGATTTGCCCCAAGTAAAGTGAAAGGTTTGCCCCCAAAAAAGGAGGCTAGACAGTGAGACCCGTCAAACAAAGGGTATTAAAACATATTAAAACATTGCTGTGGTGATGCCAAAAGGCATTTCTGCCTTCTTAGAAGGATGCTCAGCATTCCAGCGGGTGTAAACAAATTGTAAACATGCTTGCAAAGCTTCGTACTCCTCTACGCACTTGGTAGTGCCCCACTTTCTCTGGAAATTTTTCTGAAGCGAGGAATCTCGACCTGAAGTGGGTCAAATCGCATTCTCAAAAGTCGTTCCTACCAGCCCTTCATTTCATAGCTTTTACTTCCTCAAAATAATGGGGAATAATACGACCACAACTGGTTTCTTAGGGTTTTTTTCAATCCTATTATTTGGATTGTGATGGGTGAAAAGAACATGAACTTTACAGTCCTACAATGTCCTACATCTATACACTTACACCCTCCTCCCAGTACAATTATGGGGAACCCTGGCTACGAAATGACCAAATGAAATATGGGGGAACTACCCTGGCTACGATATGACCAAAACACCAACAGAAAAATATATAAGTATAAAAATCCAGCACGATGAAATTTGCTAATTCCAATGCTTCGATTCTTTTGAAAAGCTGATGAAACCAGTGAAAAGAAACTCGGATAGTAGGCGCGGTATCCATAGGCAGCTGGTTCGCGATTCAATGAAATCTTTTCCGCTTGCATTGCCGGTGACAGAAAATCTTTCAGATTGGAAGGTGTAGAAGAAGGTTTGCGGGTGCCTGATGATGAAGCTCCAGAGGCACCTGGAACTTCTGCGTTCTCTGTCTTCTCTTTCTTCTCTTTCTCTGCAGCCAAAGCTGCTTCTGCAGCAGCCGTCTCGATTCTATTTTTCTCTTCCGACTCAGAACGTTTCATCTCTTCCAAAACCATTTTTCTGGTCTCTGTCGCTGTCTGTCTCCTCTCCTGATCTTTCAATCGCTGTTTGGCAAGCTTGATAACTTTCTGAAACTCTGGTGCTTCTCTGTTCTCTTCATCCAACTCAGACACCATTTCCAGAATAGACTGTTCCTTGTCTTGCAGGCCGCCCATCTTGTTTTGCTTCCATGTCAAAGCGCTGATCATTCTTTTTTTTTCCGGGTTGCTAGCTTCTGGGAACAAATGTTCAACCAATTGTTTGGCCCAGTCCACCTTCAGAACGGAACCGCCCTTTCCCGATCCTTGTTTCGATCGTGGAGGTTCAACACCCAGTTTGTTGCAAATTTGCCTTATGTTGGCTAAGGCAATCCATGTCCCTTCCCTGACAGCTGAAGTAAGCAAAGGCTGATACTCAGTAGATGTAATCTCCCAACCAAAGCGTCGACCACCCAGAAACAGAAATTGGGGCACCAGTCCACGAATGAGACGTTTCACAGGGACATAGCGCCAAGCTGCTCCCTCCAATTCAAAGTTGATCATCCAGCATAAGTCACGCGCCAGGGGTCTTGACAGCGGAACCGGCGGGCAAATTACGAGGTATTCCTCCAGGGTGAGAACATAAGAGGAATAACAATATATAAGGTCGATAGTTACAGTAAATGTTTTGAAATTCACTATTTAATAGTTTGGGCTTTCACACAAAGGGAACACTTATTTTTTAAGCCCGGAAGGGAATCAAACATGGCTGGGAAATCCATTTCAAGATATGGCATATTTTTTGTCATATTTTTATGCCAATATAACCGTCACTGTGAAATGGTCTGTACCGTCACTGTGAAATGGTCTGGAAATGTTCCCCCATGGTTCAATGGTTTTTGAGTGTCCTTGTCGTCAAGTGTCTCTTTCTGCAGTGGGCACCCGACCGTCGCCCATTTCCGAAACCCCAAGCTGAGAATGTACTGGTCATTGGTATGGTTGTAGTAGACACATCCGGAAACAAAGAGGCTACCTTAGCGACATGACAACAGGCAAGCTGGTGAAATTCAAAAACTGAATCCTCAAATAATCAGGGTCAGAAAATTTGTTTTGTCAGAGGAAAAAATGTCATATCAAAAACTACATGGAAGCTGCCAACCCAGCAAAGGTCAATGTGGGACCAAGCCGATTCAGAATCTTGTAAGAGAAACGCGGCAGCTGCTGAAGCAGTTTGTTGTGCCCCCACACCAGCGGCTTTGAACCCTGTAGCATATATTTGTCCTAGAGCAAATGTTTCAACAGAACTCAATTTGACAAAGCAAACTTATGGCTTTGAACCACAATTAAATTTAATAGCGAAACTGTCAGTTTGAAACAGCCCCGGTCCTGGTTTTGGAACCGCACCTGGATTTGGAAACAAGGAATGCTGGGGTGAAAAGAGGCTCTGGTGGGCTTTCTGTCTTGCTGCAAATCCTTGAGGTGAACGGATTGTCTGCAGGTCTGTCTTGGATGGTAAAATTTGTGGGCACCCTCCAGTTTCAGCATATGGGCTGATGATCGTGTATAGGTATTTCACCATGTCTGCCATCTTATTGTTCGTTGAATGAACCTGAGCTTTTCTGTGGAGGTAGGCGAAAGTGTTCTCCAGTACATCTTTGGTCGATGGTGTCCCCCGGAACAATCGACGGGCCAATTTCGTCAACTCCTCATGCTTCTCTTGGATTACCAGAGCCATGCATTCCCTAGCCAACTGCTCTTGATTCCAACCAAGATCGGTTAAGAGTTCTTTCATCAGGACTGTTTTCACATTTTCAGCCTTATTCACCTGTATGGCTAGATCCCTCATGTGATGGAAGGCCGCATTTGCGATCTCTGTGTCCTCATGTAGCACACAAGCGATCAAACTAGGGAATTCCAACCAATGGTGAATGTTGGACCACAGAACATTCTCAGCCAGCGCCAGCGCAAAAAGAAAAGCCTGGTTCATCACTTCCTCTCTTGCCTTGCCCATGCGGGCCATTCATCTGGTGGTGGCGGGATGGCATGTCTCATGCACTGAGACATTTCCAAGTGTTTGTGAAGTTGGTCTGATTCCAACACAGTCAAAATCTCATGAACTACAACAAGCCATTCACCCACTGAGCGGCCGCTGACAAACTTCTCTTGTTCAATCCAGCCTTGAGAAACTTTCTCCATTGTTGTGTAGTAGCTGTTCTCCAAAGGGAAACTGATATCCACCAGGATATGTGCCATGAGTTTCACTGATCTGTCCCGCATAAAGCCGCAAATCATATTTGTGGGCCCTTTCTGGTTGAAAAGCTTGTAGAATTCTGCTCTGTTTCTCGGGGCAGGAGGTTCTTGAGCTTCCCCTTCATCAGCCATTTCCCCATCAGTCTCATGTTCCGGCTGCATGTCATTCTCCTAGATCAGGGCCCCTTTCTGAAATTGAACACAGCAATTGAATATTGAATTTCATTCAGGAGAACCAAAAACAATCAATAGTAAGATCGAAATTTGTCCCAATATCAAACAATGGTGCGTTGATTTTTGCTCCTGACCATATGCGACTGGAACGCGTTGACTGACTGAACTGAACTATCTCATTAAGGAACACATAATAATAATAGATCATAGTAAGTATTAATTAAGATTCTAAACCTGGATATCATCAGATTGTATTACTGTTTCCGTCCAATATGTAGGAAGAACAGGACACATGTTTGAAAACCCGGGTCCACTGTTTGCTGGAGGGCCAACAGGGACTCCTGCTGAATTGTCCAGTTGTACAGCAGGTCACGCACAGATGCCTGGAAACCAAACCAAGACTTCGTCTTTACCTTGGCTCGGCTTTCAAAGTTGGGAAACTTGGGTTAGTGTCATGAGTCATGAGTCATTAATTGTATTTAGCTACGTTGCCAATATATTAATGTGCTGAAGAAGAAACCTTCCCACTGTCTGTCCCCTCTTTTGTTTTACAAAAAACAAACATTGATTAATCAAATACATTGCCCCAAAAAAGGGAAATAAGGTCCAGGTGGCATACAAACCTCTGTTGCGAAGTGCTGTTGAATTCATCCAGTCAAACATAGTATCGACCACTTGTTCATAGTCGCCATATGTAGCATAGGGTTCTCCCCGGTCCAGAGATACAGCCTCTTGGAAAGTTTCAAAGTAACTTTCATCCTGACCAGCCAAGTACTGCTCAAATGCGTCCCTCTTCCCCTCCAATTTGTCCCCCGACTTGTAAGCCCCATGATCGAAGTTGCCTTGGTAGGAAATTTGGAAAACTGGAAGTCATTGTTGTTTCGAGCAGTGGAATTTTCTATTCTATTTAGGTTTTCCAGAAAAAAGTAAACTCAACATGGACTACAATTTGAACTATATAAATAGGTTTTCCAGAAAAAACAAAGTAAACTCGACTTGGACTACAATTCTAACCACTGAGTTGCAACACAGGGTTACCTTCAGCATCGCTATTGTCAACCCTGCTCGGGTGACAGCTTTGCGGAATGAATTCCACATTGGATGGCATGTCTCTGAATCGCTGTAGCCGCGCAAAGCTAGCCCTACTGCGTTGTTGAACATATAGTTGAACACCTTATGTTGCGTAGCTTCATCGTCAGCAACAAACCGCATGATGCGCATAGATGTCACTGGAATTACTTGTGCAGTGGATAGGTCTTCCCCTACCTTGAGTACAGCGTCATGGCCCACCCGGAAGTTTGCAAGACTCATTTGCGACATCATCAGCATAGCGTGGTTGATCGTCCGCAAAATGACCTTAGTTCATTGGTCACTGCAAGTTTTTTTCAGAATCAATGCAGATTTGAATCTGGGTTTTGATCTTTAATCAATGGTCAGGGTCAAGTTAAAAATTGAGGTATGATGACATCTAGACTTTAAACAGAATAATTGGAACAGTGATCTGTTTAGTTCTTGCATTGCAAGCAAAAACCCATGTGAATCCATGTGAGGAAAATGAGACCGTGGAAAATTTTGAATGGAATCCCATGATGCCTCAAATAAACACAATAATTATATAA